GCACAGGGGCCCCAGAGAAGTTGTGGCTGCCCCATCCCTGGCAGTGTTCAAGGCCAGGTTGGACAGAGCCTTGGGTGACATGGTCTAGTGTGAAGCATCCCTGCCCATGGCAGGAGGTTGGAAATAGATGATCTTAAGATCCTTTCCAACCCCAACATTTCTGTGATTCCATTATTTTATATCCCATGGTGGCCTGAGACACCCGTGATGGAGACAGGGATGAAGGGACAGACATCATCAGGGCTGGATACCAGGTGACAATGGTGGCCATCCCATAGGTGGTGGTGTCCCGGGTGGCCCGGGTGTGCAAGAACGACATGGGGGGCTCGCAGCGGGTGCTGGAGAAGCAGTGGACCTCCTTCCTCAAGGCCCGGCTCAACTGCTCCGTGCCGGGAGACTCCCATTTCTACTTCAACGTCATCCAAGCCGTGACCGACATCCTGGAGCTGGACGGGCGCCCCGTGGTGCTCGCTGTCTTCTCCACACCTGCCAACAGGTTGGATGCTCTTGTACCCTGCCGAGACCCCCAGGGCTGGGCTGGGACCCAGGGGTGGACATCGGGGACAGGTTGAGGTGCTCACCCCATGCCCGTGTCCCTCCAGCATTCCCGGCTCGGTCGTTTGTGCCTTTGACATGACCCAAGTGGCCGCTGTCTTCGAGGGACGTTTCAGGGAGCAGAAGTCACCCGAGTCCATCTGGACGCCTGTGCCCGAGGACATGGTGCCGAAGCCCCGGTGAGTGGGGACAGGGATGGAGACAGCAAGGCTGGGATGGGCAGGAAGGGGCATGGGGACAGGGCTGGGGACAGGGACAGCCAGGGTTGGTCCCACAGGGAGAGTGATGGGAGTGAGCATAAGGTCAGGCATGGGGACAGTAACTGAGGTGGGGACAGGAGCGATCAGGGCTGGTACCCGCAGGGACGGTGGTGGGGATGGGGACGGACATGATTCTGTGATAACAGGGATAGGGATGGTGATGGGGAAAGGGACAGGGATGGGGACAGAAGTGATCAGGGGATGGGCATGATGATGAGAACAGGGATGATGACGGGGACAGGGATGATGATGGGGGCAGGGATGGGGACAGGGACGGGGTTGGCAAGGGCTGGTACTGGCAGGGACAGTCATGGGGATGGGAAAAGGAACAGGGATGGGGACAGGGACAATAAGGGCCGATAGCAGCAGGAAGGGCAGTGAGGATGGGGATGGAGATGGGGA